TCAGTGACCCTGTCTCTAAATAAAATGCAAAAAAGGGCTCTCCCACTTCTCATCATTCCCCAAGTTGGGTTAAATGCCCTAAGTTCAAATTCCAGTACCAAAAATAAATAAATAAATAACAACAACAACAACAGAAGGCAAAACCAGAATTAGAGTGGTTTCCCTTAGAAGAACCTTACTGCACAGCTGCTTAGATAGCCCAGCAGCCAAGACAGCATGGTCAACAGCTAAGTGGCTTCTGTGAAGAATTCACTAGACTCCTACTCTTAAAATCATCGTAGCTTATACTAGGCAGTACTTCCTGGTACTGCTTTGCATGTATTATTTCAACTAATTGGCAGTAGATATTCCAGTTTTACAAGTGAGATGACAGACTCAGATCAAGCAACTGTCCCAGGATCACGTAGTTAGTTTGTAAGTGTCAGCGTTAGTACATTTAAAAAACAGGACCCAACAGTTACTTGAGGAGTAATTCTCAAGACTTTTTGCCAGGTATCTATCATATTATCTTAGGATGTCTTAAAAACCCCCATTCTGTGTGGGATTTAACTCCTCTTTCCTAACCATGATAAGCATCCACATAGACTAGGGAGTCTTCCTTTTTGTTGTTGATGCAAAGGAGCTTCCTATTTTCTCTGTCTGATACGCATTTTAAAGTGTTGTTGCATGGAGGGGAAAAACTTAAAAACATGCATGTCAGGAGAGGTGCATTTTGGGTTCCTTTACAACATTTTTTCCTTTTAATACATATTTTTGGTTTGGGTTTCTCATTTACTTTCTAGTAGGTTGCAGAATGAAAAAGTGAATGGGTGAAATCTGCCCAATGGATCTGAAGTCGTGTTTGCATGAAAGGCAGTTAGGAGTGACTGTCTCTGGGGGCATAATCTGCTCCTTGAGGACCCTGTTGATGATCTTTTCAAGCTGTAAACACTGACCTGGCTCTCTTCCATTGGAGACCAGGGGTATTACGTGGTGGTCTGAACTGCAAGGAATCACGCATGACACCCTGTATCCTTATTCCCTATGAGCCCCGAATATAGACTTAGAAATTCCACTGCAGTCCACAAACTGTAGGTGAATAAGACAAAGGGACAAGAGAACAGGAGATTTTCCACAACTCCCTTTCAGTGTCCTGTGCTTCTTCTAGGCAGGCAGCATGGTGAAGCTGTGGGTCAGGGTATGTTTTACCTCTACTTTAATAAACAGAGTTCATTTATGTTTCAAATACAGTTTATACTCACCTCTGTTTTCCAAATTGATTGATTTTGAGGTATCCCCCTCAACCCCACAGAAAACATTGCACTTGATTCTATGGCCTTCCTGTTAAAATCCAGGCAATTATCCAGAGTCCTCAGCCAAGAAGAATACTCCCCTTTCTTAATGGGAGTGCACTCTGGCCCTGGACTGGAGGGGCCGAGGTGCATCTGCCTTGCAGGATCACTGATGGGGAGGAAGGACATCAGGGGAAAGCCTGGAAGAAGGGAATCACTCAGCATGCCCAAAGCAGTGGCTGTTTCAGTTGGTTAAACAGTCCACTAGTAGGAGTTTTGTCCTGTCTTCCTGCCCTAAATCGGGCCCCCTGTAGCTAGCCAGCAGATGCACATACAATTCCATTTTCTTCTAGCTTGGATAAATCAGCTGGCCTTGGTGATGGCTAGCTTAGCACTGCTGCCTAAATGTTGGGTGTGTGAAAAGCAGGGAGAGTTGGCCTCTTAGCTCTGCCAGGGCTTTGTATTCCCCATGGAAGGTAATAGATGCAAGGAAGGAGACATGACAGTCATAGAGGTGTTTTCCAGACTTCTAAATTAATTCTTTACCATACAGGTTAAGTATCTCTTATTTGAAATGCTTGGGATTACAACTTCCCACATTCTGGAGTTCTGCTAATTTGGGGATATTTGCATATACATAATAAGATATCCTTAGAAGGATATCTTAGTCTAAGCACAACGTCAATTAATGTTTCATATACACCTCATACAGGTAGCGTGAAGGTGATTTTATACAAACTTTTCAGTGTGCCTGCATTTTTACTGCAGCCCATCACACAAAATCAGGTGTGAAATTTTCTCCTTGTAATGTCATGTTGGCCCTCAAAAAGTTTCAGATTTGGGGGCATTTTTGGATTTTTAAATTAGATATGCTCAACCTGTACTGGTACTAGTTTTTATAAGGATGACAAAGGAGAAAGGAATAACAACTACCATAATCCCACAACTAAAATATAAATCATTGCTAATTATTTTTTTAAATAATTTTTTTTTAGTTGTAGGTGGACACAATACCTTTATTTTATTTATTTATATGTGGTACTGAGGATCAAACCCGGTACCTCACATATGCTAGGCGAGCACTCTACCACTGAGCCACAACCCCAGCCCCTCATTGTAAATTATTATTATTATTAGCACTTTGGCTTATTTCTTTCCTATCTCTTTGCTATACATATAATTATTTTTAACATGGTTGAAGTCATACTGAATATTCCATTTTATATGCCGCCTCGTAAGCATTTTTTGTGCTTCATTTAAAAGTTTTTTCATAATCTTAATGACTGTAAAATATGAGTAAGGAATCAAAGGAAGTTCATTCAAATCCTAATTACATTTACAAAATTTTGGTAAAACTTCCGAGCTGAATCCAAGGTCATTCCTTGCACCTGTCACTTGGTGAGGCAGTCATATGTACTGTTGCATTTTATCCTTATCATAAACTGTGAAGAAAAAAGTGCTGCTTTGGATCCTCATATGCAGCCCCGTCTAGAAGAGGCTCAAACATCATAAAAATTAAATGATGTTCTAAAGACCAGATAAATTACCCAGGTGCACACACCTGTAATCCTCTAAGCAGCTTGGGTGGCTGAGGCAGAAGGATGGTAAGTTCCAGAACAGCCACAGCAACTTAGCAAAATCTTGTCTACAATTAAAAAGGAGTGGGGATGTGGCTCGTTGGTAAAGTGCCCCTGGGTTCAGTCCCCAGCACCAAAAGATTTTAAAAATAAATAAACAAAGAGGCCACACAATGAGTAAAAACCCCAGAACTAAAATACAGCCCTGTCTCCTGCCTCTGTTAGTTTCTCAATTCTGCTTTATTTTTTTTTCCCAGTAATTAATGTCCAAAGCCAAAAGAGGTATCCTTCTCACTATGGCATCTGTAAAGTGGATTGGGCTTTCACAGGCTGAAATCAGGAGTTGACAGGTTTTATTAAACTGTGGTGTAGTAATAGGCCTACTTCAAACTGACACCACCGTGGCTACTTTGGTTGACCTCTGGCTGTGCAGCAAATGCTACTTCAATTTGAAGAATATATTCGGAGAGCTATTCGTGATGGCCATAAAACAGGTCTGTAAGGATGGTTATTAAAGAAAATAATTCGGGGGCAAGAAGAAAGATTTCTTAACCTACTTCTACTTCTTGTCATTTAAATTCTTCAAAAGGCTGTTGATATAATTTTTAGTTTGTTATGTGATGTCACCTGAAAACCCAAAGCCATTAGCAGGGGATAAAAATGATAACTTCTGTCTGCTATCTGAAGAAAAAAAAAAAGTGAGAAAAAGAAAGTGAAGAAAGCTCTGTGGTGATACTTTAAAACTGGGGCTTAGGTTAAATATTTATTATTTTCTTTAATGTGACAAAAACATCTTAGGAAAACACAGCTAAGAAAGATAGTGGCAACAATTCATATAAATTAGATTCTTAACTAAGCTACCAAGACCTTTGAAAGCAATTAGTCAAAATTCCTGAAAGAGTGCTAATGTAAATCTTCAGATGTAGGCATTATTTATGTAATGGAACAAAAAAGTCATGTTCTATTGGGTTAATATCTATTCAGTTTTACTGTAATTATTAAATGAATATATAAGACAAAGTCTCAAAAAAAATAGTGTAATAGTCAATGAAACACATACCAAGTCTGAATTGGACCAAATCAATGGACCTTGTTAAAACCAGAGAAAGGGATGCATTCAGTAAGAACTATGTGTCAGGTGTTGGGAATCAAATCTCGATTGAATAGGATTCCTGTTTGTTAATAAACTAGATTGATTCTGTCATTAAAAATGAACTTCTTCAACTGGGCACAGTGGCACATGCCTGTAATTCCAGCAGCTCAGGAGGATCACAAGTTCAAAACCAGCCTCAGCAAATTTGCAAGGCCCTGTCTCCAAAAAAAGAAAGAAAGAACATATCTGTTTATTATTATAGTGAAATACCCAAAGCTGAGTAACTTAGAAGTTTATTAGCTCAGTTTGGGATGCTACAGGCTAAAACACTAAGGTGCTGGCTCTGGCAAGGGTCCTGGCTGCATCATTCTGTGCAGATAGCATCATGGTGGGAGGAGGTGTGAGAAGGAGATCATATGGTGGGGCAGGAAGCTAGGGCTTGAGGAGGGCTGGGGCAGACTTGATCTTTTAGAACTACCCTTCTCTCAGGAACTAACTCAGGGACCCACTGTTCCTTCACAGGGCATTGCCTGTTGACTCAGAAGCCTTGCACTGTGCTCCACCTCTTAAGAAGTCCCACCATCTCCCAGCATTGACACTGCAGAGACCAATCTTCAGCTTATGAACCTTAGAGGGAAAAACTGCATTTAAACCATAGCAATGAGTATTATATCATTATCAGCCAGAGAAATATTAGCTTTCAGTGCTTTAATTTTAAAAGTGCCATCAGGTGCTTATACCAAAAGTAAAGTCAGAATTCACATCTCTTCTTTGAGTTATTCATGATTGTTATTGTTGACCCAGATTTGCATTGGAGTAAGTTGGACTTGAAAGATCTCAAATTGTGCTGATCCTAAAAATTGTCCCCAAACTGTAGCATCTGTTCTGTATTTACTAACTGAAATAACTGCGGATGTCAAATGAAAGGAGATTCTATTTCCTTTAGAAAACAGATCCTTTTTTTTAGAAGTTCACATCAACAGTGTTTTTAGACCTCAAGAGTTTATTTTCATGTTGAGGGCTAGCTAATGTGTAACTGTTGCCTTTCCTTCCTCCCAGTGCCCTGCCAGACCGTTTTAGATTACCTGAAGACGGTACTGCAGCACCATAACCAACTCCTGATGCCACAGCCAGCCGACCAGCCCACCGAGGTAGGTCTTGGGGGGTCCAAAGATAAGTAAGTTCTGTGTGGAATTTCCTTAAGATGAAGCCTTTTGATAACTGGTCTATGCCAGAATAGATTGGCTAGCCAGGTAACATATCTGACTAAAGTTGATGATCTGTTGTCTGCATGTATGTGTTCTGTGGGGAAGGGGAAGGCATGTGTTTCACTCATAAAGATTCAGCTCTGCACTCTGAGAGGGGAAAGAAAGAAGAAATATCACAGGCAGTTCCACCTTTCCTTTGGCACAGCAAGGGCCTGCAGTGGGAGACGCCCACCTTTCGCACCCTCAGGCAGAGTTGGTGTTCCATAATGCCTTTCATGATGGAGGTCTCCCACCTGACATTCTCTGGAGTTCAGGTGGGCTATTTTCCTGACCTAGGGCTCCTGAACATGAGCCACTTTTTCTCCTCAGTTCAGTAGAAGAAACAACAGTCTCTCCATGTGTAGGAGAAACGGTCCGTTTTGAAGGTAATGGTATGTCAGTTTAGACATGGTCCATCTTTACAAGGTATTGAAGGCTTGGTGGTGAATATATGTTCTTTTCCTTCCAAGGCTTAAGAACACTATCAAACACACTCAAGTCTTGTCTACCCTAAAAAAGCCTCCCTTTACTTCCCCCTTCCTTCCTCAATTGATATTCTTTCTTTTTCCTTCCATTGCAGTATGCTCTCACATCACCCTCTGACAGTGCTTTCCTGCCACACCATGACACGTCTTGCTCCTTGAGCTTGGAGCCCAGGTCTTATCCCCAGTAGTATCCCCGGTATCTGTCCTAGAAGGTCTTCAGTTCATGTTTGCTGAATGATGACCTCCCTTTTTTAATGAATTAAACACTTGAAGACTGGTCCCTGTTCACCGTCCCTACTCTCCTAGTTCCCATCTGCTCTCCACCCTGTAATCTCACTCTACTTCACTACCCCCTGGAATGTTTTCAGGTACCTTTGCTGGTTACCCCCCCCTGGGACCTTCTTGTAGCCCTTATCTCTTTTCTTCTTGGCCTTAGCATTGGTACTTTCTCTGGATTCCCCACCCTTTTCTTACTGCACTCTCAAGAGTTTTCCATCCATTGTTCCCCAGAGTTTCATTCTTCATCTTCTCTTGCTCTTCTCTGTTCATTTCTGTTCCAGTGGGTATGAAGTTCCAGTGGGTATGGAGAGCCCCAGTCCCCACAGCTCAACCTTATGCCACTGTCTACTGCACCACTTGGAGTGCCCACACACCCCTGAGCCTCATCACCCTCACTCTGAACACACATGCTCATGTTTTCTCTTCAGTAACAGTCCCACCAAACCCAGGTAGGAGTTTCTGACAACGTCCCTGGCTGTCCCCTCCTTCCTCCTGGCATGCGCTGATTCTACAGCCATGTGAATTGCCTATCTTCTTTCTGAGCTGCACTTAGCACTTTACACCTGGAGTATTAGAATAGATTTTTCATCTCTATCTTCTAAATTGATCCAAACTAAATGTTACTTGCTTAGAATCCTTTCATTACTCAGACTAATAATAAAGTCTACATTTCGTACTTGACACTTTTGTCATTTAAATGTAAACAGAGATGAAAAGCCACTTCTTAGAGGAAGCTCTCCCCGACTGCCCTTCCTGTTTTATGCTCACGTAGCATTGTTCACAGGTGTAATGCAGAACTCCACACCTTACTTAATATACACCTGTGTCTTCTGTTTGGCTATGAGCCTGCAAAGACTCTAATTTAGGGTTATTTATCTTAGTTTTATCAAAGTGACTCAACAATAGGTCAACGTTTATAACCTGTTGGTGGCTAATTGAAGAGGCTAGAGAATCAGAATTCCATAAAAATGTAAAAAACAGAGGAAAAAATATCTGCATTTCCGTTGGATAGGACTATTTAAACTTTTATTACCCATCATCATCATTATTACTATCCTATTTTTATTGTCATTTCAAGCACATGAGCATTTTCTCATTTTTATTATTTGTCACATTTTATTTCTATTAACTATGCCACAACAGGATTATAACTCTCATCCATAACCCACAGGGCATTCTGAGTTGTGTTTTGGGCTGTAAATTACATATTCTCTTTCTTTTCCTTTTTCTTGATGAAAATTACCTCTAAATGGTATTTCTACATTTTATGAGACAATATTTTATGTAGAGCTTCTGCATTTTGGAAGGGTTCTGAGCTCTTCTATAAGTGGATTTTTAAAAGGATTTGAAAAAGTAGCTTTCTTGGATTGCCAGCTTCCAAACCACAGCCTCCCATCTTGAAATAGACTGGCTTTAGGGGTACAGCATGGCATCATGTCCCCAAGTTCAAGAACCTACCCCTTTGTATCCTGGGACCTTGGTAAAATAGCCATAATCCTACCTTGCAGGTGAGCTCCACACACCTGAGGGAAAACATTTTTTAATATAGTGTTAAATAAACAATCTCCTTTTCCAAAATGGACAAGTATATATACAGGGACCTTAAGTACGGTAACATTTTAAATTAATAGACCCTTGTATATCTGTTGCTCTCCTTAAATTTCTTTTAACTTTGCCAATTTATGTTCATCAGCTCTTTTCAAGTGTCTCAGTACCACAGTGGTTAAAAAAAGGTAGGCACTCTTTCCTGTAGCTGCCCTTAGTGTCCACCTTGTGCCAGCCACAGTAGTAAGCATTATACTACATCAGTCGTGGGACATGTTTATTATACCTGTGTGACAGGTGCTGTTCTCCACCCTGGGAGTAGGATATTGTGTAAAATGATAAAAATCCTTGATTCTCAAGAGCTCTTCATCTGGTAGGACATTGGTGGAAGCCTCACTATATACACCAGCAAGCTTGGAGTAGTATCCCTACTCTGACAGAAAGGAGCTGAGTTTGGAGAAGTTAGTTACCTGCCCAAGGGTGAACCCAGAGTCCAGCTTTGCAGTTGGACTGACACTGCTGCAGGGGAGGAGAAAGGAGGCCAGCATGCCTAGGGCTTGGGGCAAGCACCTCAGGCTGGTCATCAGTTGCTCAATAAATGGTGACAGTTATTAATAAAGTTTTTCCACAAAGGTGCTTTTGACACCAGGAATGATTCTGGCCAGCCAGCCTGGATTTCACTCATCCCCGCTCCTGGCTGCCCTGAGGGCTGAGGGGGTCAACTGGATAGAGCCCTGATAAGCCCTTCTCTCTCAGTGCATGAAAAGCAGTGAGATTTTTTTCCCTGTTTGCTCTCTTCTCCCAGCCATATTCTGTTATCTGTGCAAGATACCACCTTTTTACTTAGGAATCATCTTACCTCCATCTCTCATAACCTAGTCACTGGATTGGTTGCCTGGTGCTCTTGATTCTACATCTCATTCCCTCTTCTGTAACTGCACTACTCCAGAGTACTTATATCTCACTTCCCATTTCCCAAGCTATAAAACGTTAGTTTCTGCCTGTCTTCTGATCAGTCACCTCTTACACACTATGTCCCCCTCATTGTACAAAGAACCAAGGATTGGTATATGCTCCCAAATGCTCACTTCATAAACACATTATAATACAGTTTCTTGTATTTTACAGATGGAGAAACTTTTGTTCCAACAAGGTTGAGTACTTTGCTCACATTAATCTAAGACCAAAAAAAAAAAAACAAGAATCATCTTAAATCCAGCTTGTCTCTAAATCCATACCACAAACTGCAGCCTCAACTGCTTCCCTTAAGAAGGGAAATCAAGTCACACTATATAGCTTTCTGGAAAAACTGAAGTGATGAGTTTCCATGTGCACAGTTTACTGACAGTTTCCTAGCCAGCTCTGGCTGCCTTTTTCTGTTGACTTCTCTACCACTTACCTTTCTCAATGCTTAACTAAGCAGAGCACTTTTTGAAATAAAACCTTGTCAGACCCAAACGGTGCCAAATTTATAACCTGTAGTAAATTTGCAGAGTTGTAAAACTGAATGAGTTTTCCCTTCTTTATTTTGTACACCTTAATTACTGGGGAAAGAGTACATTAAAACTGAGATCATGGGTTAATTAATTTGTCCTGGACTGTAGAATTTTATGGACAGCCAGAACTAAAGTAATGGTTGTGTAGGTGCAATTGACTAAACATGGCTTATAAATGTTACAGAAATTCCCATAATTAGTCCCACTGCAGCTATTTAGCCTGGGAATTTTATAGCAGACATAAATTATGAAGGTGAAAAGTAAGAAAAATTTTGAGTTGACATAGTGGCATTTGTAGAAGCTATAATTTGAGGAAACCTGTTTTGCATTATTGTTAATGATTTTTTTTTCCAGTTTCCACAGTTCCCCTTTTTAAAAAATCACTTTTTTAAATGTTGTTTCCACTGTAACACAATGGCTATCAGGTGTTAGGTGCTTTAAACACGGGTAATATCTGATTAATTTAGACCACCAGCACCATTTCTAAAAGTACTTAACTGCCAACCAGAGGATGAAGGGACCTGTTTGATCACACTCTTCAAAGTCATTTTTTGCATATTTTAATAGATTGAAAAGGAAAGTTACAGGTTATATTTAAATAGTGTTCCCTGTCATTGGATCTTGACACATTTTAACCTACCTGTTAAAATGCGAGTTATAAATAGCTCCTCTTTCAAAGGTGTTCATTATACCTCATTGGCTCTTGTTATAGAAAATGCAAATGTAATTTGAAAAGTGCCCGTTCTGAGTGTGAGCAATTACTTGTGCTCTTCAGTACCGGTTCATTGTCAGCATAGCCACTTGGTTAAAAAGCAGGTTTGCCTTTGAAATGGAGATCACTTTGGCTTCTGGCTGGCTGGCTCAGTAGGTAATGAGAAAATATTTTGCTTTTCCAGGGAAGCAAGCAGCTGTTGAACAACTATCCCGTCTACATAACGAGCAAACAGTGGGATGAGGCTGTAAATTCTTCAAAGAAAGATGGGAGAAGGCTCCTTCGCTACCTCATCAGATTTGTTTTCACAACCGATGAGCTTAAGTACTCATGCGGCCTTGGGAAAAGGAAAAGGTCAGTGCAGTCAGGAGAGACAGGTCCCGAAAGACGCCCTCTGGATCCAGTTAAAGTCACATGCCTCCGAGGTACTGCATCCTTCCGCTCAGTGTCCACCATCCGTGATCCCATTTCACCGCATTGGCTGTGGCTGCCCCGTACAAGTGTTCAGCCTTACTGTATTTTGATTTCTTTCCACTGAGAAGCATATAGACTTCATGTGGCCCATCTACCTGGTAGTGAGAAGCTCTGTAAAAAATCGTTTGCTTTAGCCTCGTTGTTCTCACTTAATGGTACATAAGCATTGCATAGCACCTCATGTTTCACGCTTTAAATTCAGATTTATTTTTGCTGCCAGAGGAGGCCATTTCTGGCAAAATGGGAGCATAGGGAAATGCACAAAAGAAAGGAAGATGTGGAATATATTTTTTTAAATTTGGTAAAATAGAACTTTGTTTCCACTTCTAGCCTGCCACCCTCTCCTAGCTTTCTTCTCAAGAATACTCAACCCAACTCCTTAAGTTTGTTTAGAATTAATTTTCCTTCATGCCTGCAGGATATCTTACCCAGTAAAACTTTGTTTTGGTTTAAAGTTTCTGTATTAAAAATGCTGCTTAGAGCTGGGCTCAGTGACTCTGGAGGCTGAGGCAGGAGGATGGCAAGTTCAAGACCAGTCTGGGCAACTTAGACCTGTCTCAAAGTTTTAAAAATAAGAAGAGCAGAGAATGTAGCTCAATGGTAGAGTACCCCTGGGTTCAATTCCTAGTACCACAAAAAAAGAAAAAAAAAAATACTAAGTATTCAGATAATACTACCATTTCATTCGTATTAACTGGTGATTATTTTGCAGCTGATCTGCACTATTGAAAGCAGGCAGATGTGAGGAGGAGGAATCAGGATGAGGTACACAGTTGATTTGAAAGATACAAATAAACATCTAGACAAGTAGAAACATAATAGTGCCAACTGAACACTGGCACATCTGAAAAATCCACATTAGAACACTCAAATATTAACCTGTATACTTCAATAGCAGTTTTATTGACTATAAAGTTTTAATACTGGTTTAATCTGGGTAGGGATCAAAAATTTTCCTGATGAAGAAATTATAGTTTTGGGTTTGTTTTTTTTTTTTTTTAGTTACCACTGATAAAGTCTTTGTATATTAGAAAGAATATCCCTATGTTCCCTGCTGAGTGCCACCTTACCGTAAGCACTTCGTTTCTGCAACCATAAGTGGCTAGGCTGAATACGTGGTATTTATTAGCATTTAAGATTCTTAGCCCACGCCAGAGATTTCTCATTCACCATGCATGGCTCCTGGCTATGATCACCCTAGGTGATCTTGTTGATCCTCATGTAAGTGGCCCATGCCTCAGGAAACCATCTGAGAAAAATACCAGTATTAACTGGGTATACTCCAGAGCCTACCTCTCATTGGCCAATCTGAAAATTTTACTTAGACTGACTAGGTGATAGAACTTACTAGGGTTCATTTAGCAAACTAGCCATAGTTTCCCTTATTCCCCAATATCATCAAAAGTGATGGACTTATTCACCAACAGGCAGTATTGAGCTTGGGGGCTCTACTGGGTGCACTCTTTATATATATTCAACAAAGTTGCCCTTAGGCTTACAAAGGAGCCAAGATGAAGGGTGTTACAACTGTATCCCTTTCTAGAAACTTGATTCACATGTTAATAGCAAGTCAGAGAAACAGAGGGATGAAAAGACATCCCAGAGAACCAATGCCATTGCATGAAGAACACTGCTGGTCCATGGTCACACTGATGCTGGCCAGGCTGCCTAGCCAGAGTCCACAGTCTCTAGTACATTTCTCACATGGGGCATAACCCACAGCTTTTATCCAGCCCATAAGTGTAAAATCCATGGGCAAGAAATGGTGATCATGCCAAAGGCAGCTGAGCTATCCCTCCTCCAAGCATGCTGATTATATTCTGGTAACATTAAATATTTAGTTGAGATCATATATTTGCTAGTAAATATGTAGATATTTCAATTTGAGAAGGAAGTGTAGCCCATCTTGCAGCATTTTAAGAATGAAGAAACCTTCTCTGAATTAGTACCCTCCCTCTCATTAAGACCCTGCCATTTTATTGTGCTCAGTCTTTAAACTCTTAGCTGGTTAAAGAATACCATGCTAATGATATTTGCTGTGCTTCTTGATTTAACTTTCTCAAAATATCAGTGTGCTCCGTTACTAACCTGCACCAGGCATGGTGCACACAATGTCTTACTGATCAAATTTACCTTTGTTTTCAACAGCAAATGTTCCTTAGCAAGATGACCTCTCCCTTAGGGGATTTTTACTTGTACATATGAGAAGAAAATTGGTTTGAAATAAGTTGGGTGTAATAAGTGACCTCATCATGGCACTGCATTGGATCTCCCATACAGCTTTTCTGATGGAGCTTCTGTTAATGTTTGAGCAGCCTGTCCTGTTGTCATCTGTCAAAACCTGCTATTGTTTTTTTCTCTCTCTCTTTACTGTTGTGTATATTCCCGCAGAATTCATTAGGATGCACTGCACCTCCAACCCCGATTGGTGGATGCCCTCCGAGGAGCAGATAAACAAAGTGTTCAGCGACGCTGTGGGTCATGCCCGGCAGGGGCGGGCAGTGGGAACTTTCCTGCACAACGGTGGCTCATTTTATGAAGGAATCGATCACCAGGCTTCACAGGATGAAGTCTTCAATAAAAGTTCACAGGATGGATCTGGGGATTAGTGGACAGAATCTTTCCGCTGTAGCAGCTGGTCCTTTCAAGAGCTCCAATTGTGAATGTCCATTTACCATCACCTGAGAGTCCAAAGCATGTTGTTCAGTCATACTTCACACATTCTCAACCTTAAAACTCCCTTGACCACAGTTCCCAAATAGAAATCCATTTTAGGGTTGTTTGGGAAGTATATGGCACCTACAACAGACTTTAGTAATATAAAAAAGAAAGAAACTGTAGTTGATTTTGATTACTGGCTAGACAGTGAGGGTAGAAAGATAGGTGAGCTCCTACTCACCTGTCCGACATCTTCAGGTAAGCTCTGCTTCTTAAGCAGAGGTAGCTTCAAGGAATGGTGAGTTAGTGTTTGCCCATGAGAGAAGGCAAGACATGGGAGTTATTGTGAGGGACAAAGAAAAAGTTTTCTCTTATTTTAATTCAAGTAAATTGTCCATGTTTTCCAAATACTTGAATTCTGAGTTCTCAGCAAAGATATCACATGCTGTCTGTATGTTACAAAAAGTCTATTATTAATAAGAAGCCAGAGAACAGAGGCCATTGGTATAGACAGTGGTTGATTGGAAGTTAACTACTTTTTTGTTGTTTTATAAAGAAAACTTCCACTGTGTTGATCAAAAGGGCACTGTGTGATCTCTGGAGTTTACAAATAGTAGTCATTTTTCATTAAGCCAATCAAGAAACATCCAAAGATTCAAAATCATTTTCAAATGTTTGATATCTTGGTTCATAGATGCATAGGTTCCATAGCATTAAGTCAGGCTTTGTCAACACAATGCCAAAGTAGGGGGTTGAACAGTGATAATTCCATCAATTATTTTGGTCTACTAGACCAAGCTCGTGGTGCAACCTGGGTATTTGCTGTACTGATCAGATGTTCAGGCATTGAGAACACACCTGCCTCAAGGCCATTCTGATAACTATGCAATGGGCTTGTTGATAATTTCTTCAAAATTTGAGAGGTTTTCTGTGCTGTGTTGATCTTTAGGTTTTATCTGTTTCCCATTGTCTTGATGAAAATGTCTCATGCGATCTGTGTGCCACCTTTGCCCCAGGATTCCCCTGCATTCCAGACTCTAGCTCCGTTAACACTGTTCCACTCCAACTCAACTTCTTTTTAATTTATTGAGCTTCATATGTGAAATTAGTGATGTCTTTGGAACCTTTCCTATCAACAAATGCTACAGAGGTGCTAGAATCATTTCCAGAAGGTTAGTTGTTCAGCTTTGGAGGTGAGGAGAAAATTCCTTTAGCAAACAAGTTCAGATTAGTACATTCTTTATTGAACAAAGAACTAAATGGGCAGCATTTATCGAAGGCTGTTAATGTCATCTGTGAACACAGGTTTTGAAAATTGGATGAAAATTTTTAATTCATGAGCATGCTATATTTTGTTAAAGTAAAATCGCAAATTCTTTGCATTCAATAATTAGTATCCAGTGTATGTGAAATCCTAAAAACTAATCTTTCTTTAAAAGTTTGTTTATGGAGATGGTCATTTCTCAGATTTGTTGGACGATTTAGGGAGATCCTCTTGGGTGAATTAGCTCAAGGTTGGAAGTAAAATTATGTAAGCAAATTCAGTGTCTCTTATGGCAACTGTGAGACCAATATCTTTGGCTATTCAAGGATGCAAGGATACTTCTTGTGTTTTTAGAGGTCCAGAAAGTCAGTGTCTTATGAGATTTCTTTGATGACATGAAACCTTGTGCAGAAGAAAAACACCACCATAGCCTCATCTGTTTTTCCGTCTTTTTTCATCCTGGGCTATAGTCATCATTACTGCAAGGTACATTGTCATTTTTCTGTAGCAGCAAAACTTAACCACAGCTTTTAAGAAAAACTTCTCTTACTATTTACCTGTAAATTTGAAGGGTCTGCACATTTCTTCTCATCTGTGCATAGCCCTGCATTGTGCTGTTCTTCCCTGAGGGTGGTGTGCAATCTCATGCAGCCTGCTTGTCAGGGAAAGAACCCACAGAGTGGCTGGAGTTTTTTTCATCACCAAGACAGCTGCTGTGCCAGGCTTGCCACACCACCTTTGTTCCAGAGGCATACCTACTCTCTTCCCTCCCCTGCACCCCATTCCAGGTGAATTATCAGCTGTCTTTTAATATGCTACAAATTCTAGACTGTTCAAACACAGATTGGCTATCTTGCACTTAAGGAAGCTAAGGCCCACAGGGATCACTTAATCAGCATCCCATAGCCACATCTCATGCTTCTCTTGGTGCCAAGACCTGTGATCCCCAGCCTGGAGTCTTGTGTTCCCTCGTCCTCAACACTAAGTCTTGTGCAACACACTTGTTTAGTTTACCGCCTGACCCAGGTGCTACATCAGTTCAAATAATCTGGCCCCTCTCCTTAGCGCGTATCTGTGCTGCCGTTTGAGCTTCACCTGTAGGCTAGTGTGTTACCTGGGTGTGTTAAAGATTCCTACATGGTCACCTCATTGTTAAATCAGATCTTAACAAAGGATGTATTTTTTGGTAAGGGTCAGCAGCCTCTGGCAGTTTAACTCACCACTAAAGATGACATCCCATTATTGCTGTTAGCTTTCCCGTGATCTAGACACTTGGAGGTGTTGCTTGTTTTCTTGATTGATTTGCCACATCTTTGGTAGTTGGACACATTGTTCTTTTGTCAACTTTTCTCCTTGAATCATTTCAGCATTGGTGTAATTGTTAAAACTCTAGGAATGCAGATGTGTTCCATTTCATTGGTGAGAGGTGGTCCCAAGGCTAATCTGACTGCAAAGACCAAATGTGGCAATTTTGTCAATGGCTAGGTGGGTCCAGGGTACAAGCTATCAGAAGAGTCCCTACCTACCAAAAGTGACAGTGTCTTGGCATTTCTTGTGTTTTCCATATTTCTGCTTCTCAAAGTAAACTGAAACCCCAGCATGGTTCCAGCCAGGTTAAGGATAACCCTGGAAAGATCTGTCAGTAACATAGATCAGGAACCTGGGGAGGGGAGCAATATTCTGCAAGCCATTGAACCAAGTCACATTTCTCTCACTTTCTGATGGTGCATTGTTCAGAAATCTCATGGTTGGTTCACCCAAGTGTTAAGTGCTTTTGAGAAAAACTGGAAACATTTCAATTTACTTGAAAGTGTTTTCTCCAGTCCTTAAACCTGGGCAGCCCTTCCCGCTTGGTATTCCTTGTTCCACCACAGCATCAGTAAAAGTGAAGTGGGTGATTGTATATTTTGGAACATTCTTTACCTCTTCATAAGTAATAAAACACATTTATAGAACAGTGTCATCAGGACTATCAGGAGATACATATGTATGTTGTTATAATCTTTAATTTGACCCAGCTACTCTGTGTGGCATCAAGTAATGGTAACTAATGTTGATAAAATGTTTTAAATCCAGTAACTTTCTTGTAACACCTGATATTTATGCAAAATCTAGACAAGAACCCAAACTTTAGAATCTGCTGATTTGTGATTTCTACATTTCCCTGCTGCTTTTAATGACTTGTGCCTCCCTTCTGTTGCTCTCAAAAAATGGATGGAGCATTATATAAAGATGAAGTATACAATGTTTAGAAACACAAACACACATTGCACTCTCTTTTGGATTCTATCATTCAATATGTGCTCTAGACTTAAACCTAATACCCATTGACTACCTCCTCAGTTTATTAGATTTCAATTTTTTAAAGTTTCATTCTTAGATAACACATTTAAATGTATAACGTTTCTCACTCAGTGCTATGTCATTTCATAGTACAGATCTGTGTTAATTTTTGACAGCTCTTATATACAGATTTGTAGAAATGTAATAGAAAAATGATTTTGCACATATGGTGCAAATCTTGCTGGTGTAAGTTTAATGTAGTGACATGTGCCAAAGCTGCTTGGCAAAACATGTCAAATGGAATGCTCAAGTCAGAACTCTAATGTAAATGTGTCTAAACAACAGTATGTATCATTATGTATTTTTGTAAACATAGTGATGGCTTCTTTCAGTCATTTAAGAACTGGATAAAAATAACTGCTTCACTTGAAATAATGGAGGGAAATGTCAACCAGACTATGGCAAAGTTGCTCACATTGTTAGGCAGTGGCATTGGATTTTTCATTTTTTTTTTTTTTTTTTTTTTACAGAAGTGTGAATTGACATCAGACAACATCAAGAAACCCCCCCCCCCTGAAAAAAACCTCATTAAGTACTTACCTTCTAAACGTAAATGTTAAAACTTCAGCTGACATGTTAACACATTAGAGATGACTATTACCCTTCACCAGTATATCAAATAGCGGGAAACATTGCAAGGGTTGGACTTCTCTCATCTAATGACTGCCATGGTCAGTTTGATTGTTGAAAGCATTAAATTACTAAATCCCTGCAGTAACAGTGACTAGATTAAGCTTTTCTCATCATCACCCATAGCTGGTTAATACAAGGCTTTGTTTTCATTGAATCACTAGTCCCCAGATTGCAGTGAAAGTGCATGTGCTAGTAGAACCCATTCAAAATCTGTTCATTCTCAGAATAATTGCACTAGTACAAGTGGCCAGATGTGTCTTGGCCATGTTGGAAAACACTTCGGGCCCATTCAAAAATACTATGACTATAATAGTTAACTACAGCTAACTAAGAAATGCAACTATTGTGTTCTGGTTTGCCAGTTGTTTTGATAAGCACTGTAATGCATTCTTTCATACAATCACAGCTACCCCCTGAGGCCATTCCTGTTATCTGTGGATAAGGAAACTGAGTGATCCATCAAGATCCTTGTAGGTTCAGTAAGTGGGATGACCAGTTCAGTTTTCCCCAGTAGTCAAAGCTCAGTTCTCAAAAAACTTATCTACACTTCTAGGTGGATTTTTTTTTTTCACTTAAGCCAGCAAGGAAAAGTTGATATTTGTTTGTGCTTAAATAAGAGCATACAAAACATATCCTCTGAAAACTACCCAGGTTCCTGCATAAAATTTGACCTAACAATCTGTGAATACCAGAAAAGTTTTAATTTAAAAG